CCGATTTTTTCGAAAATTGGTATTAGCCTTTTATTTTTGAACAACTTTTCCTAGTAACACATCTTCACAAATAAGTGTACTTTACTCTTGTACCATTTAAAGTTCTTTCAATTTCTTGAATACCCCGTAAAAGAAATGTAAATTTTTTCTATCCCAATCTTACTTTAAGAATTAGCAAATTTTTTTATCAAGAGTAACTTTTTTCAATAAACTGAAAAATAAGAAAATGTTTCCTATTCAACACCTTTTCTGTGGACATACTGTACATAACTATATGTTTTTTAGTTCTACGGAAAACCCCGGTCATCTTTATGTTAATGTTTTATGTATAAGGCGTCCCATTATTTGAAATAAAATACATATAAATATAAAATTAACATCTCGCGATTTACCTAAGGTTTTCACTAATCACGTAACTGCGTATACAGAGCTAGAAAATTCACATGGTCCATCTGCCTTTACATGAGAGCGACAAAGTAAAGTAAAGAAATCCGTGCGATAGACGAGGATGGCTATAGTGAAGACGTTTCATAATCTGAATAGTCACCGCAAGTGACTATTCAGATTATGAAAAGTCTTCAATGTAACCATCCTTGTCTATCGCACGGATCTCTATGACTTACTTTATCGCTCTCACGTAATGGCCGATATACCATGAGGACTTTCCGAACCTGTATAGTATAGTTTATACATTATTCTCTCAAAGTTCCATTTAGAGTCGGAATATTGTGCAATACCTTGTGGTGCATCTAGTCGTTCATAGCAACAGCGTAAAAAATAAATGTTCGCAACAGGGACTTTTAGTTCAAACCAAATTTCAGTAAGAATAGTTTGTTTTGATATAGGAAACACCAAACTAGTTAAAAGGATTTTCACCATTTATATTTTCTTCTGGGCACTTTGGTATTCTATAAAGATGTTTCGACTGGTATTTCAGAAATTAAAAGTTAGGCAATAGCATTTCAAAATTTCATGTTTAACGCTGGAACTGTCGCGGAGCAAAACGTTTTTAGTATGAATGCTTACATTGTAGAATCGTTTCTTTTTAATTCAACGTAACGATCTACAATCGTTTATAGCTCATAGGCCCACGAGTAGCTCACCGTACTTAATATTATCATACAAACAAAGAGTAAGTTCAGAATAGCGTGCTGGCGATTTTGTAATGTCTAAAATAACGAGACCAACAAATACTTCTCTTAACAACTTTGCAAAGTAAGGTTCCTAAAGTTACGTAAAATTTACAGTAACTGAAACAGTAAAAGTCGACATATTATCGCTAAACGTCCGCTTACACGAGGAAAACACTAAAATAAATTTTCCAAATTGTTGTTGCAATCTTATTTTCCTGATTGCAGGAAAACATTGTTGCTATTCATTAGCATCCTTATGTCATAATTTTTGTCACTTAACTACAGACAAGAAATAAGTTAACAATTCAGACTGTTCTGTCCCTACATAAAAAAACATTTTCTCAAACCGTTTGTATGTAACTGTATCGATTTGCTTTATATGTATTTTTAAGAAGAAATATCTGAACATACGATCAAATTAACCCCACAAACATAAATCAGTTGCTTTTCTCAAAGAAATTTAATTTAAAGATTTAGGTATATTCCTTATCCTCAGAACATTTTCAATACCTAAGTGAACTATACATACAGAGTGACTGATGCAGTTTGGTTTGTAGGCTTCTATTAGCTTTTTGACGTTTCGACAGTCATATCACTCTTCTTCAAATGAAACTCTGGAATTGAAGATTAAGTGTTCTGGCTGATATTTCTATGAGCTCTACGCGCTGGCTCCGATGCATGGGTTGTCGTTACAATTTCTACGTAGTTCTACCTCCTCATCCGGAATGAAATTATCTGGATCCTTCTGGATCTCTATTACCAATATATAGAGTCCTAGAATTTTGGTACTCTTATTCTAGCATTTTAGTTAGCTTTATTGTATGTCCTAATCTACCCTTCGCAACTGCAAATTTTTGTAGGCTGTTTTATTTTTCAAGTGATACTTGTGCTCCTTTAACCTCGTCCTGTTGTGTTTTCCCCTTTGTGCAATGTATACTTTCCTACATCTACACTGGATGTTGTATATATCAAAGCCTCGGGCTGCAATAATGGTCCAAGGCTTCTAGTTACAAAAATAGAAGGTAATATAAATAAAGTTCCCCAGAAAAATATAGGTTTTCGTATTTGTTGGGTATTTTTATAACGTCTTTTAATTAATGTGAAGTTTCCAGCATAAATATTAAACAAATATTATCGTTGAAGCTATAAGAAACAGTAAAAAATGTTTCCACAACATAATTAAAAAGAAATGGAAAAAATGAAGTTAACCTAGGAAAAAAACTTGGGTTTTATACTACAAAATCTTTCCTCCCAAGGTAATAAATTAAAAGTTAAGCCTATTTTAATTGAACATTCCTTATGTGTAAAACGTTTCAACATTAGTTATGTATATAAGATCGAATCAGACGTACAACCACTCACCTGGTATCGAGTATGCAACCAAGAGAAAATAATATCACAAGTGTTCACTTTACATCACACTGCAGTAAGACTTGAGTACTTACAAATCGATTGTCTTCATGTGCTTACGTGATTTGTAAGCAATTAAAATTTTCTTACGAATGCTGATAAAGCTACTCTTTAATTACGGGAATGTTGTTGAGTATTGTGAAATCTAAGGAGATCTCATTTAAATATTTCTATTACTTATGAATTACACCTAGAAGATTTCAAAATAAGTATGGAAAGTTTATACAGGGATGGCCAGAAGTACGGAATAAAATTCATATCTTTTGAATGAGATAATTTTTTTTAAAACGACGAAACACATTAACTGATTTTGATTTTTCCCATCTTTCAGTTATATAATAATTAATTTTTCTTCAACCCCCTAACCCCCAGCTACCCCTACTTTTTTTTTCGAATGGAAACATAAGGCATGAGGGGACTCGTTGAAAAGCTTATAGAAAACCGAATCCAGCCATACCAAATAAACAAGTTTTATTTTTTCAATAGCAAGGTTTTTAGGGTTGTATAAAACACCTACTTAACAAGTGAAATAAAATTTAATTATTTTCAGTGTTATCCTCCATGAATTTTCACAAAATAAAATAAAGAATTTGAAACTGTACCTATCACTGCTAACGCAAAAAAGATATATTTTTTATGTTTTTTTGCTTACACTTTTTTTGCTGGCACTTACTTGCCAGGCTTTCTGGTTAATTTTTCGCTTTAGTTGTAAATTGGAGTTCGAAACGTTACTATTGTGTCAAAATCAATTTATTTACTGAATTGCAATGGTATTGTCGGAAAGGCAACGCATCGAAATCTTGATATTGCTTGGATGTGGAGACAAAATAAGAAGTCAGGCTGAAGTGCGCGATTTATTTAATGCGAAATATCCCGAAAACCAAATCTCGCAAGGGACAGTTAGTAAAATATTTCACAAATTTGAGGAACACGGTACAGTACAGACTTTGCCCAAAACTGGACGGGCACGTGCTTTGAATGAAGAAAAGAAATTAGACATTGCATTAGAACTTGTTGAAAATCCTCATACTTCAACTGTTTCATTGGCCCGCAATCACGATGCTTCTCGAACTGCAATTCGAATGTTTCTGAAACAAGAGAAATACCACCCCTATAAGGTATGTCTTGTCCAAGAGCTTTTGGAAGACGATTATGATAGGCGATTACAATTTTGTGAGGAAATGATGAGACGGTGTGACGACAATAATGGTTTTCAACGAGACGTACTTTTTTCGGATGAAGCTACGTTTTATTTAAATGGAGTGGTTAACAGGCACAACTATCGCTTTTGGTCCCAGGAAAATCCACACTGGACATGCGAATCGCATACGCAGCATCCACAAAAAGTTAATGTATGGGCAGGTATCATCAACAACAGAATCTTGGGCCCATTCTTTTTTGAAGAAAATCTTACTGCCGCACGCTACCTGGATTTCCTAACATTTGACCTGATACCTGCTCTAGCTGTGATTTTCCCTCATGAAATTGATCCAGATATACCGAATGAAAGAATTTGGTTCCAACAAGATGGCGCTCCCCCACATTTTGGTATTGATGTTCGAAGATACTTAGATGAAATGTTTCCAAATCGCTGGATTGGTAGACGGGGTACAGTTGAATGGCCGCCAAGATCCCCCGACTTAACACCCCTGGATTATTTTCTTTGGGGATATTTGAAAGAAAGAGTCTACCAGGACAGACCGGATAATATTGAGAATTTAAAGAACAAGATTAGGGCGGAGATGCATAATTTACCAGCTGAAGTCATTCAGAATGCTGTGGACAGCTTTTACTATCGTCTTGGAGAATGCCAAATAGTGAATGGAGGACATTTTCAGCATTTGCGACATTGAGTTTATTTTTGTAAATTATCTAGTTGTTTCAATTTCTAAATGAAAAAAAACTTGTTATTGAAAAAATAAAACTTGTTTATTTGGTATGGCTGGATTCGGTTTTCTATAAGCTTTTCAACGAGCCCCCTCATGCCTTATGTTTCCATTTGAAAAAAAAGTAGGGGTAGCTGGGGGTTAGAGGGTTGAAGAAAAATTAATTATTATATAACCGAAAGATGGGAAAAAATCAAAATCAGTTAACGTGTTTCGGCGTTTTAAAAAAAATTAACTCATTCAAAAGATATGAATTTTATTCCGTACTTCTGGCCATCCCTGTATAAGGTGGCTCAGCATAAAAATGTTAAGAGCTTTAAAGAAATTTCACTTGATTCCCTATATGTTTAAATCAGAAGGAGGGCAGTTGATGTAGAAGAAGATGTAAATGCAGGTAGCAAGTAACCCATTGTAAAGGTTAGTCTCTCACTCCACTGCTTTGCCACTGCGCATCTTAACCTCAAGGCTAAAATGATTTTGGTTTACTTATACTCAATCCCAATAATGATTCATAAAGGGCCTTTCTTGATCTGTTTCAGTGTTTGCTACTAAGCGACTTTTTTTTTTCTAGGAATGATATCTAGTGCAGTTATATGGGGATTCCTTTGTGATACCCTAGGGAGGAGGAAACTATTACTAATAGGTTTCCTCTTGGATGCTCTCTTCTTTCTCATGGCAGCTTCTTCACAGAGCTTCACCCTACTTATGATTGCAAAATTTTTAGGAGGCTTTATGTAAGTTATTTGATATAGATAGAATTATTTTTTTTACCAATAATTACTTCAGAGTATCATATAGATTAAGAATTTTATTACCAATCTGATTAGGTGGCAAACAGTGGCATGATTGTTCTTTGATATGGATGTATTGCCACCTCTGCTCTCAATACAATAAACTTATTTTTGCCTACCATTATATTGAATACTGAAAAAAAGATATATTTGAACTAAAACTTTTTTTGTCTAAAGAATCACTGGGTCGCATACCACGGACACTAATATTAATTTGATTTGACCTTTGTCTCTGGGATTATTTGATTATTCAGCCAATCTATTTATTCTATTTGATACATCAACCTTTGAAAAAGTCATGTAATTTAGTTGATTTATTAATTAAATTACTTATAACAATACGCCAAATTGGATGTTCAAATTCAAAATTTAAATTAGCTGTATTACAAATTTTTTTTGTTTAAAACAATATTCACTTGTTATAAATAACTTGATTTAATTCAATTACAAACTATAAATAGTTTTTGTAACAAACAAGTATACTCCTTTTAGTTAAAAAATCTGAGGTATTCATTCAAAATATTTATTATTCGGTAGAAAACAATTAAAAAAAAAGATAGTATTAGATTTAAGTTGCATAAATATTTTCAGATAATTTCTTAAAGTCAAAAATTTCGTTTTCTCTGTGAATAAGTACATATATTTTTTAAGAAACATTAAAGACATTATATCCAATTTGTATGATTCTCATTATAAACATTTTAAAATTTTTATGAGCAAAAGTAGAACAAAAGGCAAAAACCGAATTTCTTCCCGTTATCAAATTCTGTATCTATATAAATTTTGCACTCCAAATTCGACTTTTTACAAATCAATTGCGTGCGTTCGGAAAGGGAAATGGAAATTCAGCCTTCTGTAAATGAAATTTAACCTTTTTCCAAGTCAAATTCACCACTGAGCATTAAGAGAAATTTCAACTGGATTTAACGCAACCCCTGTGCAGCAGCCAATCAAACGTTTCATATCTTAGCAATCAAACTCGATTTAGTTAAATTGTAGTTAAATTTAAATTGATAAAGGAGCCTGTAAAACAAGGCTTAGATATTTAACAAAAAATATACAGGGAGTTCCGGAATTGAGTGGAAGAAATTTAGAAGGCGACAGAACATAAAAAAATAAACCAATCTCTTCCTATGTATCATGCACCTACCGTCTTTTGTTTTTCATATACCAAGTGTCAAAAACAATTTATTATAAACAAATTTTAGCCATTCCCCAAAAACAATTCATTGCATGAAATTTGGTACAGATAAGTTTTGAGGGAGCTAAAAGTATCTGAAAAGTTATAATTTATAATAATTATTATTTATAAAATTTCATTTCAGACAAAAAGTAACTCCTATTACAATCGTTAAAAATCAAGCTTCTATTCCCTTAAGTACCCGGAAACAAATGGGCTAGACTTCAAAGGTAGCTTCCTTGAATGAAAGTAAACCAATTTAGATCAAGTAACCTTGGTACAATTTTACTTCCTTAAAAAGTTACAGACCTTGATTTTTTGTTAAATTTTGAGCGCTTTTTTATTGACTTTACCTTATACCTTTTTGTGAATGATAAAATGTTTTAAATAATTCAGATGTACTGCAAAAAACCTAACCAAAAAAAGTTATGTCATAAAATGTTACCAAAAAAAATATTTAATAAATGAAGTAATATTAACTAGGTACATTGATCTGCCAAGTTTTAGTGCACCTCCTAATTTTTCTAATGCATTCAGGAAATACGTTGGAATTGACAAGTTGTTGAAATTAGGGCGGAAAACTTGTAAAATGATTTCACGTAGACATATGTATTTTAGACACTATTTTATTTTTCGCTTCAAATCTTTACTTTTTACACATATTTTTCAGCATAAACGGTCCGTTTGCAGCTTTAACCTCTTACTTGTCCGAATTCCATAACGCTCATCACAGAGCACGAGTTCAAATGGTTTTAGGAACAATATTCAGCTTTGGAAACTTGGCGCTACCCTTACTGGCATTAGGCGTCTTGCCAATTGATATAAACGTTAAGATGGGAGAATATTTCGGTAAGTTAAATTTATCGTTTTTATTGCAATTTTATTAATATTTGATACATTTTTCAGTATTTCATTCCTGGAACTTATACCTTCTAATATGCTCTCTACCAGCCTTAATTAGTGGTATTGCCTTTATATTTTTACCAGAAAGTCCCAAATTCTTAATGACTATGGGACGGAATGAAAAAGCCCTTCAGGTATTTAGGAAAGTGTATAGAATGAACACCGGTAAACCAGAAAGTACATTTCCTGTAAGTACAAAACATTTCAAAACTTAACATTATTTTTAGAATTACTCAAATAATTTATAGTTGTACCATTATGGAAATGTTTTTGAAGTAAATGAAAATAGTGTCTTCAGCTATGAAAAAGAAATATTGTATGGAATAATTAAGAAAACAGACAAATTAATGAGATGTTTTATTTGTAGGTTAAGGAGCTAGTTGATGAAACAAAGGTAACCAAAGAAAACTCCAACAAACGTGGAGGACACGTTACTGCAAATAGAACAAAAGTACAAGCAATGAGAGAAGGCTGGCAACAAATTAAGCCCCTATTTTTTCCTCCACATGTCGCTAAATTTATTTTAGTTTTTACGATACAATGTTTAATAATGATGAGGTAAGTCTTTTCCAGTTTTTATAAACATTATAAAGTACACATGCATTTTTCAGTTTGAACACTCTACGTTTATGGTTACCCCAGATTTTTCAAGCAATTAATGACTATCAGTATTATAATAACGAAACCGCTAGTCTGTGTGTCATGATGGAAGTTTTTCAACCGAAAAACATGAGTATAAATGCAACGGAGTGCGTTGTGGTGCGTATTGTTCTCATACCTTCAATTTAAACTAAACAAATACTATGCAAATACATTTTATAAACTTATAATCAAAATCATCAAACTAAAAAAAATATCGTAGTAAATGGTCGAACATAACATGTAACTATATTTAATTATAGTTGGATCCGTGAGTACTGTGTAAATTGATGTAATTGATGTAATTAATTAAAGTCCATTAAATATGTGATAATTGATATCTATTAAAATACTGTTTCCACGGTAATTTGAGATCTGAGACTAATATACAGTTACCATATTATCACAGAAAATTTGTTATATTTGATACTATTCTTTTAATGAAATACGATAATCAAATAATTTGCAGTTGAATTTAAATAATTATGCTAAAGTAACTAAGATTAATACACTAGAAAATTACAATAAATCACTTCTTTAAAAAATTATTTGATTAAGAAAATGCCAGATTATTTAATTTGCAATTAAGGATATAACTCTTATAGGATGTAACTAACAGAAAATGTTACTATTTCTTTTTTATACAAGCTGTCTTATAAAAAACGCCTCAACCTGTAACTCTGTTAATAATTGTTCTATTTAAAAAAACAAAAGACTGTTGTTAATGGCTTCACAAATACTACAATCGAGCACTGATTTAAATTTTTTTGCCATCGTTAGAACGTTAGGCGATTTTCAATTGTTTTTTCTTAAATGTCGTTATTATATTTTTTTTGCCTGTTCGATAGAGTATTTTTTCTGCAGTCAACGATATATTACAACTTGATATTTGTTAAATATTTTATGGAAAAAATATTTTTTTACAAAATTTATTAGAGAAATGTCTATGTATAATTCACGGCAGCTTCTGATAAAAATGTCAAATTTAGAAGCATTAAATGTCACGCACGCGTCATTTCCTAGGCAAAATACGTATCAGTGTATTGTCAAGTGTATTAATTACAAAGAAATTATTGTAACTTAAAAGATATGAACACTAATAAACTGACCGATATGTTGCAAGTATACTTTCAATGTCATAAAAATAGTACCCAAGCAGAACGTCTGTATGCAAATCGGTTTCCAAACAGGGATGTTCTACAGCGACGAAAATTTAAAAGACTTGAAGGCAATCTCATGATGTACGGTGCTTTTAAAAAGCCTAAAAATTCGCAACGCATTTTTAATGGTCCAGTAGAATTAGACGTTTTGCTTAGTATTGGGGAAAATCCACAAGCTAGAAATTGCAAGTAATATTAATTCTTCAAAAGACACAGTACACAAATTCTTAAAAAACACAAATTTAAATCATACATAGGTACTACAGAAAGTGCAAGTGTTAGAAGATAACGATCGTGTCCGAAAGGAGCAATTTTGCAATTTTTATTTAAATATGATACAACAAGACGCAGGATTTTGGAGAAAACTTATATGGTCAGATGAGTGTACCTTTAGTAAAAGTGGCATTTTTAACCGAAATATCTATCGATATTGGAGTCAAAAAAATCCCAGAATAACTGTTGAAACCAATTACCAACGGAGATTCAGTGGCAATGTTTGGTGCGGAATTCTAGGTAATCGATTAATTGGACCATTTTTCATCGATGGAACTCTAACTCAAGACAAATATCATAGACTCTTGTCAGAAAATCTTACAAAGTTTTTGGATACCTTACCGCTTGCCAGAAGTGTATAGGATTTATTTTCAACAAGTTGGTGCTCCCCCGTATAATGCTAGAAGAAACACTAATTGGTTAAATGCTAATTTTGATGAAAGGTGGATTGGCATGACTGGTCCTGTTCGATGGCCCGCCCGCTTTCCTGACCTCACACTCGCAGATTTTTGGTTTTGGGGATATCTTAAAGATCAAGTATTTTTCACACATCCGGAAAATGTAGATATTTTAAGAGAGAGGATTATAAACGTTTGCCGTGAAATACCTCCAAACTTAATATCAAATGCTACGTATGAGGTAGCCAGAAGATGAATGTATTAAGACTTAGAGAAAGAATTATATATTCAACAAGATGGAAGAGAGTTGGAACAATTTTTACAAGGTTTTTTATTGTTACATTTTTGTTTTGTTGTTGATCTGGTATCTATTTGTTTTGCTTTGTTGTTGTTACTTTAGAAATAGCATTTCTCTAATAAATTTTGCAAAAAGAAATTTTTTCCATAAAATATTTATAAATACTCTATCGAACAGGCCAAAAAAAAATAATAAATTGACATTTAAGAAAAAACAATTGAAAATCGCCTAACGTTCTAACGATGGCAAAAAAAATTAAAATCAGTGTACTCGACTGTAGTATTTGTCAAGCCATTAACAAAAGTCTTTTGTTTTTTTAAATAAAACAATTATTAACAGAGTTACAGCTAGGGGCGTTTTTTATCAGACAGCCTGTTGGTATATAGTTTACCCACGGATAGAAGAAAACTTTTTTATTTTACATTTTATGGAATACCTGATAAAAAGTTTTGTTTGTATTCAAGATGCAGTTGCTATGGAAAAAGTTTTTTTGTAGGGGGTGTCCAGAAAACTAAAAAAAAAGAAAATATCAAGAGTAAAACAATCTTTATTTTTATTCTTTCGAAAAAGTGTTAGTACTATGATAATTTCTTCGGAATTAAATGTTATAAAGATCTCCCATTTCTAGCAAAATTGGTCCACTTTAAATATTTTCAAAAATTTATGTCCGCGGTTAAAGTGGACAGGGTATAAAAATTTGGGAGAACTGTAAATGTTGCTATTTTTTTTATAATTTTTTGACAAAGTCAGATAACAGATATGTTAGAATTCCAAGTTATGGAAAAATTCGTACAATTTGTTACCTATTAAAAGATATGTCAATGGATACAATTGATTTGAGGTTATAAGAAAGAAATATTTTTTATAGAAAATTGTGCTTATGTGATTTAAAATAATTATTTAATCTGTTAATCCTTGACGTTGTTTCACTTTACCTCAAATAGTAGTTAATGAAAATGTCATCTTATTCTTCACTTATTCCGTGATTGTACTTTGTTTCTCTAACAGTAGCTACCATAAAAGTATTAATTTTACATCGAAAAATGCATGGTGAAGTGTAAGGGTGATAACATTTATCGCCAAGTAATACAAAAATTCAACGAAAATGCCCGGGCGTGGATATGGCACAGTCGTCTTTATACAAAATAGTTCAAACATTTTTAAGAATAGGATCACTGTTAAAAACACCGTGGCAAAAGAAGAACTGTGACAATGAAGATGCCACTATTATGCTAATTCTACATGTCATTAAGATGGTCAAAATACTTAGGAGTTGTGAAATTCTGCTGTTTCCAACTTTACTTTAGAAGAAGATTATATTTTCGGACAAATTCACTTTTTCGACAAATAGCATTGTTGTTAGGCAACATTTGTGATATTGGAGTTTCGAGAATCCTCATTTTATAATACTATCTAGGTGGCCCTATTTCACTTGAATATGCTCCAAACGTTTTTCAATAACGAATTGTCTATCGACATGCTTTTTATTTCCAGCAAGACGGTTGTCCGGCCTATTCTGCTACAAGTGTTAAGACCTGGTTACATATATTTCCCAATCGCTTAATTGGCCGGCTTCATTCATATTCATGACCCCCACGGTGTCCAGATTTAACAATCATGGACTTTTTTACTTGTAGACCGACTCAAATAGATTGTGTATAACATACCTTTGAACAGAAACACCGACCAATTAAAACAAGATAATAGGGAAGCTGTACATTCCATATCTTTGGGTTATACATAGTCAATTCCTTGCTCGTCCTCAAATTTGTATGGACCTTGATTCGAATAATATTTTATTATATTTCTTACATCCCAAATTTATTAAGTTCTTTGACATAAACCAGTGTACGAATTGTTTTATTTAAAAATTAAAGCAACTTTTTGGCACGCCTTTTGGTAAGTACCACGTTTCCAAAAGGGTAAAAATAAAGGTATAGTTTACATTTTCATACTTTTTAATTTTTTCGATTCCCGGCACATGAAAGTTAAGTGTCTCCATGGCAACCCCATTATAAATACAAATAAAACTTTTTATAAAGTGTGCTTTTGTAAAAAAAAAATGTGAAACGAAAAAGGATTTTCCTTTTATTTACTCTAACAGTGAATAAAAAAATTCTTAAAATTTTATAATAACACAAAATACTTTATTTGAATTGCAGAATTATAACAATTCACGAGTTTATGCCAATTCCATGATTGTGGCCTTCACCAGCATGGTGGGATATATAACAGCAGGGACACTTATAAATACCTTAGGAAAGAAAAAACTTTTATGTAAGTATACGTACACTAGATATAATTAATTTTTTAAAATAATTATTCACGAAGTATTATATTGTGTACCCAATCCATTAAAATTGCAGACTATTGCAAGAAAACACTCGTGATTTAAAGAAAATGTGTTATGCAATACTTCTTATATCAAAATCCTTTATGGCCTTTATCCCTTCAACAAAGAACCGAACAAAAACAATGATCAGAATTTTTGTACTTCTTGTTGAAAATTTAACATTTTCTCTCTTACTTACTTCCCATACCTAACCAAGTGTTTCTAATAAAGCACATATGTATAGTAGAACGAAATTAAAAACAAGTAAACTATATTTAATTTCAAATTTGAATCCTAATATTTGCACACAAAGCTTGCGCGTAAAGTTTCGTTCAATTATTTCTAAAGGTTGAATGAAGAAGTTAACGAAAAATGCTAGATTTTTTCAAGTCTATGACGATATGGATTTAATTAAATATTATTATTTCATCATTAGATATCTTCATACGCTAATTTCATATTACTTGATATTAGGACATTATGTAAATTAAGCATTACATATTTTGATAATAGTGATTACTCAATCACTAGAGCCATTTGAAAACTTAAAATTATAGTCTGCTATAGTGTAAATTGATTTTATTTATTTATTTATGTTTATAGATGAATTGGCAATACATTTGTCTTCACTCATCATCATAATCTAGTAGTTCTGTAAATACAAATATTTACAATAAGTTTATATTACAGGTATACTTGGAACAGTATCAGGTACAATGGCCATGTCACTGTATTTCTCCAGAAATACTCCAACAACCGTTGTACTCTCAGCCCTTTTTATAGCCTTCGGAAGCATCGGCATTAACGTTATTTTGGCTGTAGTGGTTGACCTGTTCCCTACGACACTAAGGTAATAAATACAGAAATTTATATGGATATGCTTTGCCCAAATTAAAGACCAAAATAAAATACCAAAGGCTACGATTACAATCAGAGTTCAAACATAAGTCGTACATACATGTATTTTTTTAAACTATTTAATCTATCTAAAAAATGTTACATAAAATTCACATTTATATAAAATGAACTAACATTTTGCAAATTCTAAAGTAACGGTTTTTGTATCTAATTAAAACAGATTGTAGATTCCAAGTGTATGGAGGTAGTTTTCAATGTGACCATTCTCGCCCTTCACATATTAAAGTTACTGATTTAACTGTAGCTCTCTAATTAGACCCATAGCGTTAACAATAGCTCTCGGCCGATTTTCCAGATTTCCATTTTCCTCTTCTGAACACTACATGGTGCCTCCTTGTTATATCTTCATACTCCCATAATGTAGGCTATTATCTCCTCTTCCTTCTGGCAGAATCAATATAAGTTGTCTTCATTATAACTCAGGCGCTTCCTGACTTTGAGTCTACCATGCCCAGTTAGCTGTCCTACTGTATATTATTAATCTACAATGTTGGTTCAATAGATCCATCAATTCATTCGGTCGTCCTCAAGGCAATTTGTTAGTTTGCCCATGTCCAATATTTTTTTGCTACCATTTCCTTCGTTCATCATTGGATCAGTGTCAAGTAATGCCTCTGGAGAGCCAAAACATATTTGAACTTCTATATGAGCATATCTCGTCAGCCTTCTTGTCAATCTAATAGTCAGGTCATCCCATATCCAAACTAAGGTTATATTGTTGTGACAGTAACTTTACCAGAACATCTAAATATACAATGGTCATCATTTCCGCCTGGAAGATTGTGGCGTGCGTTCCTCGACTAAGGGCTACTTCCTCCTAATTCTTCATTATAGATATTGCCACCTTAATTGAAGGAGAGTACAGTTCATCTTATCCTCAAGGTACGCCGATTAAGAAAATAATCTGAATAACAAAATAAGGAGACCTCGTTAGGAGAACAGATACCTTCTACGCAAAAATAACAACAAACTAATCAATATTCGTGATCATTAATTATGTCTGATTGTAATAGTAACCTTTCTACTTTGGTCTAATCTCCTCCTTCGCAAATAAATAGATGATCAATCAACATAGACAAATATGTACAAAGGAACTTTGAGATCTGTACTTTCGAATATATTTTTTTACGTACTAACGCTAATAATACTCACATATTTTTTTAGAACTATGACGGTGTCGTTAACGATGATGTTTGGTAGAGCCGGTGCTGTATTAGGAAACTTAGTATTTCCATTTTTATTAGAAGCAGGGTGTGCCCCACCTTTCTTCGCAGTTGGATCTGTGATGTTAGGTAAGAACTAGAAACATTTCATTTCAAACACGTTTATTTAACATAGAAAGTTTCTGAGATCATAATAATAACTATTATTAACTAACTAATACAAGGTGTTTCTAAAATATGAGGCTGAACTGATTGTAGACTGAAAGTAGACTGTCACTAAGGAAGAACAGTGTAAAACTCGTTATAGAGAACAAATTTTGTACATCTTTAAAAAGCTCCGTGACAACCTGGGTAAAACAATTATTATTATTTGTGACAAACCGCTTTAATAGAAGCAAATGAATATTGTTTCAATATAGATTATTTGCAATATTTTCTACCAAATAAATATTTTTAAGCACTTAGATGATACTTAGTTCGAAATTTAAAGCCATGGATTGTTTTCACATTTGACATACTTTATTATCAACTAAAATAAGAAAACAATTAGTAAGGCAATTTGTGCTGGATTGTCTCAATACCATACTTAAAATTTGGGAGCTAAAGGAAACAATGATTCCTTTATTTGGGAAACAATAGATTTTAACTACAATGTTATTCCAATATATTGTTCATTATTAAAACGGAAGAAAAAAAAAGAGGAATAAAACGAACCAAAATCCGTTTAAAGTAGCTATTAATTTAGAAAATATTCACAAAGCTATTTTTGAGGTTAGGAAATTATGCTGATCTGATATCTTGACTCTGATATCAGATCGGTAATGAGCACCGCAAAATGCACAGGAATAATGTATTCTGGTCATTTGCACAAGACTTTTTTTGTGAAGCTGTTTAATTAAGCGTTTGTTTTCTTTTGAAACTTATCAATTGTTTTGAAGTTATTTAGAAGATGCGAATTGGCTCTGCACGTAACTTTTTACCCATATTTATAAGAAACTTTTTTCTTAAAATAACATCCCCTATTTCTTTTTCCAGTTCAGCATAGTATAGTTTAGTAAATGTTAGAATCACCCTGTACAACGAAATGATAATAAATATATGTATTTAGTAATAATTGTTGCTCGTGTTATTATAACTGTAACAGTTCTTCAATAATTTATTTAGCAATTTTTTCTCAGCAAAAATAAAAATATGTATTTTTTCTTTTAGGTTGTGCCTTCTTAACATGTCTTCTTCCAAATACAGATATGAAAGCGTTACAATAAGTTTGAAAGTTACTGTAGAAGAAGCGAAAATGTTACTTAGGTATCACAATAATTATTACAATTTTTGTATGTATGCCTGTTTAAAATTATACTATATTTATTACTTTGTGTTTCATTTAGTTAAATATTTTAGGTATTAACATCAATTACTTTTAAGATTTATCTAAAATAATCGATTTTTCAGAATGTACTTGTCTAAAGCAATTTTTATATTATCACAATTTACAATTGGCGTAATATCAACAGAATGGATATAACACGCATGTTAAAATTAATTCCTTTTGTATTCGAAGTGTATGACAAAGTCCTATTCTCAGATACTCTTATACTTATGATTCCAATGTGAGGCAGAGGCAAATGTTGGATGACTCAAGGACTTGGTAGGTAGTCAACATTTTTGCTGGTAAAGTAACATCATCGGACATGAAGTAGATTGTAGTATCTTTTCTTATAAATTAATCAGAGCAGATAAAATACAATCAATGAAATTATAAAAGATTTATTTCTTTAACACTGGAAATGTTTGAGGAATCGGTAGTGTAATGCTAGATGTTACGAAAATATGTATCTGCATGCGGAGGTATAAACTTTCAAAGTGTAACAAATGTTCGGTCGCGACCTCTGGGCGCAGGGGTGGCCGCATCGGAGTGCATGAAACTGTGTTAAAAAATATCACAAAGCCTTGTGCTCTCTCCCTACACCTTATCTATAGCTGCACAAAAATCCTAAGGGATAAAAACTCTATATAGCCTCAAAGCTAGATACTCTCCAGATAGACAGGCATAACAGACACAAGACACTTAACAAATCAACGGTGCAAAAACAGATAGAGCGTGACCTTACTCCTAAACCGCTGTCAATCCCTGAAGATCTTATCCCGTATTAGAAATGCCCAACCACTTTTAACAAAACGTCTCACAACGAACAAATGTGCAGTATAGAAGTAGAAAACAGTATAAATTCGTAAATAAGTACATTTATACACCAATGACATACCTCAACTACGTTCATTTCAAATGCGTCAGAAACTTGTTCGACAGAGAAATCTGTAATTTTCATTTCTATCGTTGTTTTCTCTCCCTTATAATATTTAAAAGAATGTGCCATTAACTGAACTGTACAATCGTTGTTTATTTAAAAGATACCTAACAGTGTTATCTTGTTTGTCTTATAAAAAGTTATTATATCCACTGTTGCTTACATCGAAATCTTGTCTTGTTTATCTAAAATATATACATTTAGACCTAAGATCCCGATTTTCTATATAACAATGGAGTGTTTGACTGGAATAAATAAAAGACAAAATATTTGCATACTATTATTTTCGCTATTTTGTATAAAGATGTGAATTTAGGATAAAAAAAACCTTTGTTTAAAATATCATCACTTTAAAAAACAGAATAATTTACTGAAACTTTATATAAATAAATTTAATGTTTTATTTCAACTGTTTTCTTAAAGCAGTGTAGATTCAGTAGTATGTTAAAACGATAAAAACCATTATCTACAGGCAAAGTATTTTCAGATTCGGTTCAGTAATAAAAAGAAATGTGTTTTCAATATTTAGAAAATTATTTCTTTGCTATTAATTTCTCAAAATTTATACGACGTTATTAAACGACTAATAACAACCCTTAATTGAATCTTCTGACTCAAAGATATATTTAATAATTTTTATAAATAACCAGAAAAACTAACCTAAACTAAAACTACAACAGAAATAAATAATTTTTCTCGAATAGGTTAGGCAATACTCCTGTAGCATTTTTCTCCCTTTGCACTTGCTTATGAATATAATTATTATATAATATTTTTAAATATATTATGTAGGTCTAGTTTATTTGATTCAAGAAAAATTTTATTTCGAGATATCTGCTATATCCAACAAAAATAAGTAGATGAAGCGATCGGTTTACAATACAACTGATTCTAAACAAATGAGGTCTTTAATAATCCGGCAAAGAACCCCGCACAAAACATAAGGAAATTGAACACCGGTCAATTTTTATAAAACTTCGTATTTTGATAGTCATGCTGATCAAAAGTCTCAATGGGCACGAAGTCATACAACCCCTTCCAACCCCCCAAAACCACCCCTAAAGATCAAGGTAATGAACTTGACAGATTACAAGTCAATTGACTTACCGTAATATTTTACTACTGTAGTCGAACCTACAGATCCCTATACCATAACTAGGATTAAGACTATCAATGGGCACCGAGCTCTGCAACCCCACCAACGCCCCAAAGGTCAGGGGGGTGCACTTGACAGATTATCGGTCAATAAAACTACCGAAATATTTTACTATTGCAGTCAAACATACAGCCACCCAAACTGTAACTAAGTTTAAGAGTACTATCTCAGAAACACTTAATCCCCCCATCCCTCTCCCTCCCCCCCAAATACAAATCCCAAACCCACTTCTTATCGAAGCCTGACGTGACTTATTCCTGCTTACGGCTTATGAAACCGTTCAATCTTGAATTCCATGCTACACCCATTTTATTGTTGTTTACCCTTTAACCCACAAGAAGTACCAAATCCTGCTATAAGATTTTTTGCTGTTTGCGGGATGTGAAACCCTGGATGTAGGTTCGACTGCAATAGTAAAATATTTCGGAATATTTATTGACCGATAATCTGTCAAGTGCATCCCCTTGATCTTTGGGGGTGGTTTTGGGGGGTTGGTGGGGTTGCAGGGCTCGGTGCCCATTGATAGTTTTAAGTCTAGTTATGGTATAGGTGTCTGTAGGTTCGACTACAGTAGTGAAATATTACGGTAAGCCAATTGACTTGTAATCTGACAAGTTCATTACCCTGATTTTTGGGGATGGTTTCATAAAAATTGACCAGTGTTCAATTTCCATATGTTTTGTGCGGGGTTCTTTATGAAAAATTAATAAAAATGTGTAAATGCTGTAAAAAGAGTTTAACTAGGTCCACTGGCTAAAAGATATACATTCTTAACAAATTTCCGTGTCAACCAAGACATCCTGAAGATCGGTTATCTATCTATATACAATGGGGAATATACTAGTATTCTACTTATGTTCCAAGCAAATTCTAAAGGAAAACTGTATCATGAATTCACGAAGAATTATTATGAAATTTCTCCAACAAGCAGAAAATTTATTGTCAGCTTACGAATAGTGCTCTATACAGGATTCTCCGAATTGCACAAGCTAAACTATATCTGGTGATAAAACACTTCAAAATAAGAAAAAAACATACCTATAAATGTAGATATGTAGATAGTAGAACGCTTGACTACAGAACAAAAATAAAAAACACATTTATTTAAATACCTCTTAAAATATTTAACAATAAGACAAATTGGTAAAACTTGGGGAGTCAATAGATTTAATTTAGTTATGGGCAAAAATTCGTCGAGATGTGTCAATTAGTCTCTAAGAACCTCAGGATTTGAAAACAACTGAATATTTTGGAAAATGCATTCGATTGATGTTCAAAACTATTTCAAAATAAAATATGGAACCTGTTAGAAAAGAACTTCAAGAATTTTAATGATTTTAAAATTACTGTGTCTATGATTTTAGCTTCTTATGACTAAAACATATTTCAAACAAAAAATTATTACTGTTGTTTTCGAGAAATGCATAGCTCTAGAATTATTTTCAATTCATATTTAATTATGTGGAAGTCTTATTTTAAATTTTTAGAAATAATTACCACTGAATATGGCTCGTTTCTTAAATAAATTTAGACATTTTTTTTCTTAAAAACATTACCTGGAATTAAATGCACATCTGAAATATGAAATACATATACCTATGTATCCAAAAGCAAACGAAAAATTATGAATTTATAACTAATTATAACCTAAGTGTTATAATCGTTGTTTTCCTTTCTCCTAATTAGTACCTATCAACTTACAAACATACGCAATTATTTTTACTGTGATACCACAATATCGAATTTTGTTTAAAGATGTCATACTTTTTCATGTAATACATATTTAAAGAAACTTCAAAAAATAAGGTAGGTATGTATATCTTAGAGCAGTTATTAATTGTATTCTATCTTAAAAGGCAATTATTTTTGCATAATGATTATTATCATTAAACATATTTGTTACATTATTATAAAATATTTAAAAATTCTTATATATGAAGCCACTGGATAAAAATGATTAAAAATGTATAATCTGTTCGGCAAACTACAAAAAGAAACTAAATACACATAAATGTGAAATAAAATAAATATATTTTAAGTCCACTTTAATAACTATAGGAGCAAATATTAATTTCTTTTTTTTTCCACAATAAAAATTTGAAAATACAAAAAAGGAACTTGTTGTGTCTTTTTCATAAATTTCAAAAAAGCGTACGACAGACAAGGCTCGCTACTTTGAGTTTCGGTTAAGGCTTGATTAACTAATCAGGCGATTAGTCATAGTCACACTTTATAAAATAAATTAGTATATGTACAGTCTAATCGCCTGATCAGTTAATCAAGCTTTAATCGAGACTCAAAGTACATGGCCTAGGAATAAAATAATAAAAATAAGATCCACTTCTTATTTGTGGAAGGATGAAATGGGCGGTGACTATTAGACGCCTTCATTATAGCCATCTTTCTCTGTCGTACGGATTTCTATGATTTACTTTATCGCTCTCACGTAACGGCCGATGAACCATGTGGACTTTCCGACCATGTAGATCAGCACTTCAGGCCTAGTAGACGCATGGCTTGATTCACTGCTTTCTTCCAAACTTGTTTCCATGTATTCTTTCTTTCAATGTTATGTTACATTCTTCTAAATCCTTCACTATTTCATCATTGTCCTCTTCTTCGCCTCCTAATTGTTCCTATGTTGCATTTTATCCGCATGCATTCTCATAACATGTCCTAACCACCTAACGTTTGACCCTTTATTATTACAATAGTATTAAGTTAATTATATAATTCTTGTAATTTTTTGTTATTTCTTCTTCCTCTCCGTTTTGTACTCACTTATCTCCATATGAAAGTATTTTTCTTCTCCAAACTTTTAATAGCTGTTCTTCCACTGATCCCAGAGTCCACACGTCACTCGTATACATTATTGTACCCCTTACTACTATTTTGTAAAATTTCAATAT